GCCAAAGCTTTTCAGCCCTGAACAATATCTAGGGTGGTCAGAGATCCCCATAGTCCAATGTAGAAATCACGCACTGTCATTATGAATCTTATGCATGTTCCAACTGTTTTGCATGGCATGGTGACAAAACTGACTGGTGTAGGCTGGGATATATAGGATGATCTTGCACCATATCAACTTTGTGAAGTTTTTGAAGCTGACTTTTCAGTGTCATCCCTGGGCCACAGACTCTCTTCAGTGAGGGAAGAACAAAGAGAAGCCAAATAATGTACTGAGATAGGCTGAGCTATATTTCCTTTCCTTTCTATTCCCAGCTCAACCCCTCTCTTGCCACCTCGTTAGTTCTCATATCTTCATCTACTGAACTTAAAGTCATGGCAGTAATGAAGATGAGGAGGGAAGCTCTGGGGGCACACATAGAAAACAGGATGAACAGAAGAGACAGACATTTACTAGAGCTTTACAGTTTGCAAAATGACTGCATCTACGTTACCTCGTATAATTATCTGTGTTTTACACATAAGGAAACTGAGCCCCAGAGATATTAAATGAATTATTTGTCCAGAACCACAGCATTAATAAGTGTCAGAACCAGGACTTCAATCCAGATCTTATGGCTCCAAATCCATTGTCCTTTTTACAAAAGGTTAAGCCATCAGCCATTACTCATGCTATTAATATATTGAGAATTTTTTTTAATATAAAACGATTTATTGCTAGACTTGTAATTATGGGTTTTTCTAAGATTAGTGCTATGTAAATATTAACGACTGACATTATTATTATTACTGCCACCAAAATTATGGACTGAGCTATATCCCTGCCTCATTAGTCCTCATATCTAGAGGAATTAATTTTATTTGGTTTAATAAGTGCCTAGTATCTTGGGTAAATAAAATATTGTCCACACCTTCAGGAAGCAGAGAAAGCAGTTAGGTAAACATACAGATGAACCATCCTGTGATGAGTTCTGTAATGGACATATGCCTAACATCAGGAAATAATACAGGACAATGGTTCTCAAATTTCATCCTGCGTTAGAATCACCCATATGGCTTGTGAAAAAACAGATTGCTGGGCCCCGCCCTCAGAGTTCCTGATTCAGTAGGTCTGGGATGGAGCCCAAGAATGTGAATTTCTAACAAATCCTAGGTTGTGTTGATACCACTGGTCCAGAGACCACACTTTGAAAGCTGGCATTATTTCCTTGTGGGGCAGACTCAGAAAAGATTTTGTAGAAGTGATATTCAGGCAAAGCTTGAGGAATTAAAAGGGGTTTGCCTAGTGAAATGGGCAGAATGGCATTTCAGGTAGATGGAATAGCATATGTAAAGGTATAGACAGGCAAAACAATGGGTGGGGCAACCCACAAGAATTTGTTATTGCCGCAATCAGAAGAGAAGTAGACAATGCAAAATGAGGCTGAGCTCACAGAAGGCTTCCTGTGCCATGCTAAGGCTTATGGTCTTTGTCCTATAGACTGCAGAGCCTTAGTCAAATTTTCTTTCAGAAAGCTAATTAATTCTAGTGTTGGTATAAAGGCCTGTAGGAAGGTCCCACTTACTACCTGAACATGAAAGAACTCCTTTGAATGTCTATAATATTATGCCCAGGGATTAGTCAATATGTACACATCTTGTTATTTAAGTTAAACAGTTAATCAGTCCCTGTGTGCCATGCACATATACAAGTCAAAAATATCATTCTTTCACTCAAGTGCTTATGGAAGCCAACACCTTCATGTAAGAAACACCACAGCACATGACAAGGCAGAAACTTACCAAGGGCAGAAAAGAGAAAAGTCAGTAAGGGCTAAAGCAATCAGCTAGGGCTTCATGGAGAAGCAGAACACAGCTGGCCTTGCCTTGTGGAATGGTGGCATTTGCATGGCTAGAGGAGGGCATTGCAGAAATGGGGGACCCCTGAGTAAAGGAACAGAAGGCAAACAAAACTTTGGAAGCACAGGGACTTTGAAGAAGCTAAGGCAGCTGGTCAACCTTTGTCAGAGCTCTTCTTAGGACATGGTAGAGAAGTGGAAAAGAGGTCTGGAAAACAAATTTAGATCAAAAAGTCTATTTTCACTGGGAGTAACCTCTGGAAGACTTCTAGAAAAGGAATAAATTATAGAGATAGAAAATGTAATGCTTCTTCATTAACTGCAAGCCCCCTCTTCACTCTTCTTACCCAAGGACAATAGGAGTCAAGGGAACAGGCTACAAAAGCTTGGATTGGAGGACACAGACAGGGAAGATGCATTGGGCTTTGGTTCCCATAGGGCCAAACTGACAGTAGTTGCTGCCCTGGGAGCTTGCCATTGTCCTGAGAATGAGGTATGTTGGCGAACTGACAGTTACTTATAAAAGGCCATCTGTCCTGTGAACTGGGATGAAGGCCTGGGAAACCTTCCATTTCAGCTCCCAGATGGTAGCACAATGCATACTTGCAAGGGAGCCTTCTTGGATCATTTGCTCATTCCCAAATTTGCAAATATGAAAACATTTTTGGATGTTGGTTTTCTGAGTTATGTGTTTCCTGTGCATTTCTTCACATCACAGCTTAACAATCTTCATAGCACTCCCTTAAGCCTTTTCTTCCATCCAAGGAGCAGTGTTTATACTTATTGAAACAGATCCACAAATTGATTTTGTCTTGAGTCTTTATAAAAAATGATGGACTTGTTCACAATGTAGATTGGAGTCATTGCTGAATTTGACGTTCATATACCCTTAAAATTTTCCAAAACTTTAATTTTCTGGATAAACTGTCATCTTTTTTAGATTACTGTACTTTTTATTTCTATTTCCAGGAGTAGCAAATGATATTTTCTTCACAGTTATTGTTACCAGAGAATGAAAATGTATGACTTCACCAAAGTGACTTCCTATGTGACTCTGGGTGGAGAGGCAAAGTGCCACAAGTGATTTAGGTTGAGGCAGTGGCAGTGACTCACCGAGGCTAGTGTCCACCTGTGACTCAGTCCCCACACCAGCCAGGTGCTGCTCAAATTTAAACCTCATCAAATTAAAACTTACTGCACACTATGGGCCTTTGAGGGCAAAAAGGAAAAGTTGAAGCTACAGCAAATACATCAGAGATTCTGATATGTCTGACTTTGGGGTGGGAGATGGCAGTTAGGAAGCATGTGCCTCAAAATACAGATAACAGCTCACCCATTTTAATCAGCTATATGTCATTAAGCCCAGTGAACAAATCTTATTGAATTTTTCATTAACTGTATTTAAACACAATTCATCTTTAATTTCCTCTTTCTAAACTCTTGCCTTGGATGAAAAGAAAAAAAAAAAAAGAGTGAGACTTTGCCAAAGGGTGTTTCATGGGACCAAAACAAAAGGCAACCAAAACAAAAGGCCCAATTTTAATTGAATTATAGACTGTGTAATTATCTAACCTGTACCAGCTGGTCTCAAGAAGCTACCAGATTCCTTAGAGAGTTTGTACTTGGCCAGAAACATAAGGTACCTTATTAGTACCAAGAAAAATGCCTTGTGTTCCTGTGTTACCCCAGACCCCCAAAGAACATAATGTGAAAGAAAAAAATACTTACAGGTTAATTTTGGGTTTATGAGGCAGTCATCCCTCCCTCTGAGCATGTGGGTGGGTTTGCTTAAAGCACCTGTAGTCTCAGAGGCATGGCCAATATAAACAGGACGTTATTGCATCAGACAGGTAAGGGTAATTTCTCTAATTAGTCATTTGAGATTTCACTTTTCACTTGGAAATACTGGAAATTTAGTTTGTTTGTGACATGCGGTTGGCAAACTGACAATATCTACAATGGTCCCATCCTATGTCTTGCTGTCCTGGTATCCTGGGGAAAGCATAAGGAAGTCTCAATGCAGACGCTTTGCTTCACCTATCGACGTCAAGCTAACTAAAGTACCTTCTTATTGATAAATGTGTCCTAATTACATGTTCCTCACTTGTAGTGCTATAGTAATCCTAATGAGTTTCCTGTGATCATTTTTCTTTTAGATTAAATGCTTTTTCTCAATCCCGCCAAATTTTGCAATGGTGAAGTAATTTATGATACAAGCTCATTTACGTTAAGAACATTGTCCTTAGAGGTAAAAAGCAAAATAGTTTTAGGGAGCTGTATTTTATGAATTAAAGTATGAATGTGATTAAAGATAGTCCCTGACTGGGCCTTTGATTAAAGGACAATTTCATTTTATTTATTTTGTTTTAAAACACCCTCCTCTAAAGAAAGACTGATTGGCATCACATGTCGTCCCCATAAATCATAGCTATTGATTTTACATTTGTTTTAGCTCTTCCAGTTGTATGCCCCCTTGTGTCATAATTTACCCTGAAAACCAGCCTCCTAGTGGGTGCTGAAACAGCCTGGAGGGTGGTTTCTTTCCACTCAAACTAATCTATATGTGAAAGAGATGAGCTTTCAAACACAGAACCACACCCCTCTTGCTTTTTATGATATTACCCTGGTATTTCCCATGAAGATAATGGATGCTACACAGTAAAATCTGTGGCAAGTGGCAACATTAGGAACTTTTGCATAGTCCAGTCAACATCGGCACAGACATGTCTCCTGACTGCCCCGGATGCTGCAGGAAGCCTGGTGTTCCCGTACTTGACTTTTCATACACAAGTTTACCCTTAGGATTCAGAATGCAATTATTAAGGCCATCTTGAAACTCGCAGGTTCAGACAGTTCTTCCGTCTTCCACAAGTAGCAGAAGTGATAAGAGGGACAGAGTGTCTGCTGGCTGCACCCCACCTTTTTTGTTAAAGAGGGGTGCCCAGCCCTCTTTTTAAACTGCATGTGGTTAGATGCTTGCAGGTAGATCTTAGGATGCTGCCAGATCACCACGCACCTCATTTAGGGTAAAATGAGATAAATTTTCTGAATATCCATGTTGTGCCCAAGTATCACTTACTGGGTTTTGTTTTTCTGGCCAATCTGAGTGAATGCTCGCATTTTAAATTATTTTATGCCCTCTCTTCTCTGGCTTCCCATTCAGTATTCAGTCACATCACTCAAGACGATCCCAGAACTGTGCCGAAGATGTGATACGCAAAACGAAGACAGATCAGGTAGGTTTTGCTCCTCCCCTCTTCTCCTTATCCTGACTCAGTATTAATGGCTCCTGAAAAGCTATTTTCCTCACACTGGTCCCCCCTGCTTTCTGTTTCCTTTTCTTTTTACGGCTTCTCCACTCACACCACCCCCCACCTCATGCCCTGCCTTCAACAAACAGATGTTAGGTCATCCGAAAGAGGATAGCAGGACAGGGAGGCCCTAATGAGGACTCAGCTGTATACAGATAAATAAATATAGGAGATCATCTCAGCATCTCGAAACCACAATATATGCAGCAATTTAGCGAAAACCCAGGAAACCATTGGTGACAAAATATAATGATGCAGGCGCCAATGAAAAAATGTTGGATGCATTTACTACCCATATGGCAAGGACCAGCTTGGGGGATGGTGCTTTGCCAAAGTCAGAAACCCTATCAGAGATGCGACATTATAGAATCTGCAATAAGGCACACTGTAACAGTTAAGATTAAAGCAAAGGCTTTGGAGTTTAATAGTGTAAACTAAACAGAGAATTATGGTATATAGATGAAAACCAGCTGGTCGACCTTTTCTCTTTACACCCCCAACCCCCAAGATTAAAAAAGTACATTCAAGAGTTGTTTTCCCTCTATAAATCAAATTAAACTTCTCTTCTTTTCCTTCTATAATGGGCAAAAATGAAAATAAAAAAGGATATTGATGGGAGTGATACCATGGTATTAAACTATGAAATGATGTTTATTATTTTTCCAAGTAGTTACTCTGTGACATCACCATTAACCTTCCCAAAGCTGGACCTTCTCTGATAGTCAGTAGAATGAATCCTGAGAACCAGATAATCCTCAAATTCTGTGTTTAAAAATAAATACATGTACCTTACCTATACAGCTACTAGAATTCTAGGCCTTTCTGATGGAAAGGATTTTTACAAAGCTAATTTACTTTTCACTGGACTGTTTGTTTTCCTTTGACATTTTGCTTAGGAGAGACGGGAAAATTAATTAGTCTTTCTAGGTTTGTTTATCTCAGTGTTTTTTGTGTGTGTGAGTGAAAGTAATGCTTCAATGTTTGGGTCAGAAACATCACAGAAGATAGGTTTCAGTTCAAATAGAAGCTTTTACTTGCCTTCACTTATTTTTTATTTCCAAAACATTCAAGTTTGTATAGGATTTAATAGATGCTCTTGGCTATAAGTCTTATAAGAATGTGTCTTCTTAAAAGGCAGTGCCCGTTTCAGACTTGAACCAATGACTGTGATCAATGACACAGGTAGCCGACTGCAGTAGGGAGGCTGCCAAGCTCAGAGTCACCAGGCCTAGGTTTGAATTAGAGTTCAGGCACTTCTCAACTAAATGACCTTGAATCTGTGACTAGTTATCTACAAAATAGAGAAGAAACCTGTACTAATGTTGCCTGGCTGTCCTTAGGATCAAAATTAGGTGATGTAACAAATGGGTACTTTGCAGATACAAGATTTTCTTTTTCCTTTAATTGGATGTAGGGAATAAGAGAGAAGAAATAATAGCAAATACTTTATTAGTGCTTAATGTTCTGGGTAGTGTTGTAAGCGCTCTACTTACGTTAATCCCATTCATCCTAAAATAGTTGTGAGCTAACTACTATTAGGATGTTTATATTATAGATGGGCAAAATGAGGAACAGAGATGAGAAGTTAAATATCTTACCCAGAGTCACACAGCAATTAAGTTACACAGCTGAGATTCAAACCCCGGGAAGTCTACTTCCAGATTCTGTTATCTTATCCCTTGCATATACTCTCCTTCCAAATAGTTTGACTTGGTGGCAATAATTTACTTTTAAGATATTATCCTTTTAAATCTTTAAAAGTCAATATTTTCCCTGATTAGTGTAAATTATTTTTTCTCTGTTAAATGGTGACTCTTACCAAGTTAAGTGAGTAAACAGAAACTTTTAGCAACTGTTTTTCCCAGGGCTGGTTCATTCCATTCTCTCCGGGTCTTACAATTTCTAGTCGTATCTGCAATAAATGATGGTAGACTTTTCTTCGGTGGTTGAGGAGGAGGCCAGTTTCAAACTTAAAAGCTTTTGAACTTTACTCAGAGCAAAGGCACAGTGCTCGAGGTAATCAGCAATAATTAGACCTGACAGGAAATGGATTGTGAGCAAAAGACTCAGGCCTCTTAATGGAATTGCATGTACATTTCCAATTTGATGGACCATTTGGAGGCTGCGAAATTGCATTCTGATAGATGGAGAATGATCCTAGAAAAAGGAACCCACGGAAAAATATGTCTGCTCAGAGCATCACTGTAGAATTATCCATGGGCCCATCTGAAAGAAATTTCAATATGGTGAAGTTTTTGGAGCTGCTTTCCTAAGGAATTGAGGCATTCTCAGTCAGTTCCGTAGGCATCCAGATGTAGAAATAACCCTTCTCACCCTGTCTTTCTTGTATCAGCCACATAGAAGGAGTTTGCTCCAGGCAAGTTAGCAAATTTCTATCTTTTCAAACGGACGCAACAGAATGCACTTTGGCTTCTGAGAAAAGTCCATATCTTCTTTGGGATGGGGCACTCGGCACTCTCAGGGGAATCTTCCTCAACCGTCTGTCACTTACAGCATACCTGATATGGTTTGGATCTGTGTTCCCATCCAAACTTCATGTTGAGTGGTAAATCCTAATGTTGGAGGTGGGGCCCGGTGGGAGGTGACTGGATCTCGAGGGTGGATTTCTCACTAATGGTTTAGCACCAACTCCTTGGTACTATCCTTGTGATAGTGAGTGAGTTCTCATGAGATCTGGTTGTTTAAAAGTGTGTAGTACCTCTCTCACTCTGTCTCCTGCTCTTGCCTCCGCCATGTGAGATGCCTCATTCCCCCTTCTGCCATAATTGGAAGCTTCCTGAGGCCGTTGCAGAAGCAGAAGCCACTATGCTTCCTGTACAGCCTGCAGAATCAAGAGCCAATTAAACCTCCTTTCTTTATAAACTACCCAATCTCGGGTATTTCTTTATACCAGTGCACGAATGGACTAATACGATACCCCCACGAGACAAAGACATTTCTCTTTACCTTTCTAGAATAGTTACACGCTTGCTATTTTGTACAGGTTGTCAAATTTTAACATCTATCCTTGTACGTATTATGTCTCTGACCGGATGTTCTCATTTGCTCTCTTACTTATTTATTCAGCAAATATGTGTTGAGTGTCCTCTGGCCCAGGTATTGAGGACATGGTAAAGAACAAGACAGACAAGGCCTCTGTGCTCACGAAGCTTACATTCTACTGGGAGTGACAGCCAAAAGGCAAGCAAACAGATAAACAAGGTCACCACAGATAGTGAAAAGAGGCAACATGAGGGACTGTGGTAGTTTTTAGAAGCTGGGGAGGGAGGTCTTAGGGCATCAAGGAATGTTAGAAGGCCCCAGCCATGAGAAAACTAGCAAAGAGTATTGAAGGCAGAGGAACTAGTAATTGCAAAGTGCCTAAGCCAGAAATGAGCTTAGCAAGTATGAGGAAGAAGAAAACCAATGTTGCTGCAGCATGGTGATCAAAATGAGGAGCAGTAGGAGATGAAGGCAGAGAGATAATCAGAGTCAGACTCCTTGGGGAGTTCAGATTTTATGCTTAGTGCAGTGAAGAGCAATGCCAGCAGGATTCCAATTTTTCTAAAATCTTATGACCTGGAAAGAAGCCTCAGCATGTAGAATCATAACTCCCCCTAAGAGAAGGGACTTTCAAAATCAGCTATTCTGTGAGAAAGAGCAAGTGAGCAAGTGCAAATAATAAACAAATGGGCAAAATGCTGACAACTGATGAATGTGGATAAAAGGTCTACAGCTATTTTTTGTACTGTTTTCGTTTTTGCGACTATTGTATATGTTTATTTACAAGTGAAAAATGTAAGAGTTATACACAAATAAAAAGTTTTCTAAAAGGCAAAAAATAAATAGTCCAAAGCCAATCAGATCTTTGAAGGTAATGCTCCTTATCCCAACCACAGGGTCATCTAGCCTGTACTTCATCAATTTAGCAACAGGGAGTGCACAATCTCACGAGGCAGCCCATCCATAAAGGTTAATGCTTTTACTGGCCAAAGTCAGTGTCCCTTGAATTTCCACTCATTGATCCTGGTTCTTCCTTTGGAACCACAGAAAAGGACCGTCCCTCCTGAACAAGAGTGTCACTAGGTGTGTGGAGACAGCAGTCACTCTTGGGCCTGTCTTCTCCAGGTGAACATTTCCTTCCGCAGTTCTGAGTGTGTGCTGCTCATTCTTTTCACTCTCTGTGGATACAGTGCAGTTATCCTCTTAAAGTGGAGCTCCCAGAACCAAACCAGAGGTTCCTCCACATGTGGTCTGCTTGGAAACCTGTCAGCCCCACAGAACACTCCCCGGGGTTTCCCACATACCTTTTCTGTTTTCCCAAGTAGGGCTGTCCATTCTGCCTGCTTCCTGAGTGTCCTCAGAGAAGCTGGAGTGTAAAATGAGCCCTGTTTGTGGCCTTTGGAAGCACCTCTGTGAGACACGCAGCCTAGGGCTCACCTCGCTTCATCCCTACGGTCCTAGTGGTGGGCTCCAAGAATGAAAATGGCAATGTTGTCAGAGGCCTGGAAGTCATGTCCTCGTACCTTCCACTGGCCACCAACGCCCACAAATCCACCTTAAGAGTGCCCTTTCTTTAGCTAGAAGCTTTGATTCCTACTGAAGTCTATGTTTTCCCCTAACAGGAATAATATTTTAAACTATTCTCTATCAGTTACTCTGCACTAGGACTATTTCAAATTTTTGTGAGAAAAGTGGTTTAGAAAGAAAGGAAGTGCAAGGGAATTAGAGATGCCACAAGGTGGGAAGGAAGCAAAAATCTAGGAGTGGGAAGCCTGAGAATGAACTGCCTGTGCATGGAGATGCACAGGTGTTATTCAGGTTTCTGAGTTGTTTCATAAGCCAGCAGTGTACCAGGCATTGTGCCAGGTCTCTGTAAGCAGCATATTTATCCTCAGAATAATTATCAGAGGGAGAAGCATTAC